CTTTGAGAACTCAGGCGAACCGTCTGATCCTTCTAGGTGTCGGACTTATAATCTTATACCTCTTTTTGGCAAGTCCTATAGGCTTTAACCAACTCTGAATTGGTTTAGCATCTCGTCTCGCAGGGTCTTTTTTCAGATAGGCAATATGGCTTTCGCTTCACTAGGTCACCTGCTGACTTATTAACTATTATTGTAGAAAGAGTATCAAGCTTTAGATAAGAATGCTGAAGCTCGGGTTGCTGATTTAGATATCTCGAAGGCAGGGTTTGGTAACCTGATCTTCTTCACAAGTTGAATGGCTATGGTATTTATGGACAAAATTTTGATCTGTTTCAATCTTTCGTCTCAAATCGCAAAAAACTTGTCTTGAATAGCCACGCTTCTAGAACTTTTTTGCATTAATGTGGGTGCCCCCTTTTTTCCCACATCTTTCCTGATGTCATCAGTTCTCAACTTGGTATCGATGCTGACGGTACAACTCATGTTTTAATAGTATCGGTTCGATAAGGTCAAATTGGTAACTGATCTAAAAACTGACTTACAATCGATTTTTAGCTGGGGTAAAGAATGGCTTGTTAATTTTAACGCCTTCAGAACGAAACTCTTTTCTTTTAATCATCTGAAAGAACTTTTTCTATCTTTCATCAGCATGGCTGATGCTAACCTCTAGGAGAGTGACTTATTGTGCCTTCTCAAGCTAACATGACATGAAGTGGAAGATCGTATTGTGTCAACTGCTAGGTCTGCTACTAGGAAAGTTCCTTTACTTTGTCGTAATAGACAATTTTTCTTGACAAAATGTATCTTACACATTTATAAGTCTACCATTCGTTTATGGATTGGATGTTGTTGCCACATATTGTCTAGTGCTTCTGCTATGTATTTAGAGGTTATTGTTAAAATACAAATCAGAATCTACAATCTTATTGGTCCTGACCTGGCATCTCGGTTTCAGTCACTTTCTCATCGCCATAGCGTAGCTTCCCTGTACCTTTTCGATAAATATTTTCATGGGAACTGTTCTGATGAACATTCTTCTATGGTACCTAGACTTTATGAATAAATTACTGAAGCGCAGTACTAGATTGGCGGCTATCTGTGATCAATTTACCGTTGAAATGGCTAGATGTAATCATAAATTTTATGATAACGGTTTCTTCATTCGCACTTCTCGCTTGTGGGATATTTGTTTCGGTTTCTTGCTTACCAGTCAACTTTGATCTTCTAAAATTTAAATGCAATGTTAATTGTTATTTTCTGTCTTCTTAATCCCTGTTCTTTTGTTGTTCTCTCTCCTTATTTTCTTTTTCCGATATTCTCCATCACTCAGTAACCACTTGCCTCTTAGTTGCTTTATTGCCTAGCTTGGGTTGAAATAATAAAAAATATGTTAAATGTATCGCTGAGAATGAATTTATTTTTTCTGGGTAAAAGCTAAGGCAAACTGCTGTTCAAAATTTATTTTTATCATCAAAATTGACTATAAAAGTGCACCAGTTAAGACTGACCAATATGCAGATTTAGCATAATTCATTTAAAAAAAGTATTGTCTCATAAATATATGGTGTCGAATGATGGAATTGTCGATTAAAATATTTTATAATAGACCATCTATCATCTGGGAAGCATTTGTAAAAGTCAATTTTCCTTTTTAGATTTGTTTTTGGAGGTCGATTACATTTAATTGTAGTCCTCATTGATACGTACAAAATGAATTTAGAAAACATTGTAGAACAATATTAAAGGAAAATCATATAATATTTCAGAATAACAGACCATTCCATATGATCAATGGGCCGTAATGAACTGCTACATTTGATTGAATTTGGAGTTTCCGACCTTTGATTTTTAAGACAGAATGAATGTATATCAGGTTTATGCCCTTTTTAAAAGCAAATATCCGAAATCTTTTAGTCGCAAGTTCAAAGAATTAAACTGTATTATGAAAATAACATTAATACTTGTCAAGGCTGACCACGAGTGTAACAAATTTTTGATTCTACTGCCTTGGCATGTTATGTAGTCAAGAGAATGTGGTTTGTTCAAATGCTCATTCACGCATTTTCTTCTTTGTCAACTATAGCGGCTTTGAATCGGACAGAATGTAGGGAAAAGTGGATTCATATCTGTCAGAAGTGTGAAGTAAATATAACATTCCTTAGACCATTCATTCGAATTTCGAACTCAGTTTGCCGAATCTGTTTTTTTTTGTTTGTTTTTTTTTGTGTTGATAACTGTCATAACAGTTCCAGCAACTGAGGATCTATCAATTCATTCTTATGTGGCAATGTTAGGAAAATCCGAGAAGTGTCTTTAACGTTTCTTCAGCTCTTTATTGTTTGTACAATAAATTAAATATAGAACAAAACTTTCACTGTATATAAATGCATTTTATATGAATCTATGGGAAATTTCATCATTCAATTTTTTTTTTTATTCTTTCTTGACAAAAATTTCCTTTTTGGTTAACATATACTCACTGGAAAACTAAACAGAATTTATTACATCTTTTTACAAAACAAGGAAATAATTTCCAGATTCAGGAGCGCCTTCAATGTCACGAATTATAGGAATCTATAGTGGAAATGGTTCTTCTCTGTATTTGATGCGATTCAAAGTCAAAATGCCGTTCTAATTAAAATTTAAAAAAAAAAAAAAAGAAAATGTATTGAAAGTGCGCTAATTTCGGAATCCTACACAGAAAATATACGTTCAGTATCATACAGCATATCTTATTTCCTCACAAAATTATTACAAATAATATAAAAGTGAGAAAAAGCTAAATGAAATAAGCTAATTTCAAAATTGAAATACATCCGGGGGCAAAAATTTAAATTTAAATGTTGAGAGTCTGATGATGTGATTTCTGAGAAGTTTCGATGTAAACTGTAACCGGTGTTTGCTGCATATTTTGTCACCTCTTTTTCTCTATAGATTAATTCTATCAATAAAATCGTTATTTTAATCTAAAGAGATTTTTCTGTGTTGTCATTCATTTACATATATACACCAACGTATCAAAAGTCGGGTGAAATGTGCCTTGCATGGTGTAAAACACTCTCTAACACGGTGAAAAGCAGCTGCATTTTGAGAGATTTTGAGCCATATCGTTTAGATTTAGCATCTTGCGTGCAAAAGATCTCTTGATCTTGTCACATATTGCTCGATTGCGTTCATGTCAAGCGAATGTGGCGATATCACGATTTATCGGAAACTTACAGAATGCCTTCAAATCATATGACATGGTTTGTGTTCGCTTGTCTTTCTAAACACGTCATTGGCAGGTAACTGCTATGTCGCAAACACACACGCGCGCGCACACACACACATATATGTTTAGTTGAATAATTTGGACATATTATGTCTATTTACTTTTACTTTAATCCTCTCGAATTCTCTGATCAACTTCTTAATGTTGATGTTAAATTCATTAAAGAAGGCGCCGTAGTTATAATGGACCTTCATGCTATATATATGATGGACTCTCTTATCGAGTTCGATGTATGAGGTTCTGACGACCACGAACTAATTATCAGCATGCCTATGACGGGCATGACTTTTGAGACCTGCTCGAGAATTGCACAAAAGACCACGAAGAGTACAGGAGAATGTATTGTATCCTAGTGCAGCAGTAACACTGTTAGATGTCTTATTTTGCTTTCTCATTTTATGTAGTCGACTGATGCTTATTTCTCAGGGCAGCTATATCAATGTTGTACTTCTTTAGCTTTAATGCGACCAGAGCTGTTTTCTTTCTGTTTGCTCGAACATTCCAAGTGCCAAGATGAAGTTGATGTTGTTTTCGTAGAGTTTTTCGAGGTAGCCGGATATGTGTGGAACTAATTAAATGTAGTTGTTAGAAAACCAATACAATGATTTGTTTCAAGTGGTCTAGGCTTGTGCCGGATCAGCCACACTTTTTGGATCAGTCGATAAAAATGTAACGGTGCAAAAGACTTGTCCCGGAAATTCCGAACGACAGTTCTCATGTGTTATTATCGCAGACTTTAATCTCTCCGGATCACAGTCAATACCATCCAGTACTTGCCTCTCGGCAGTCAGATGCGATATAATGACCGGGTTAAGCTATCATGAGTTTTCCTTCCCATCTTGCTAACCAAAGCTCAGAGAGACTCGTTTCACCCTCATCAAGGGCAGCTAGCCCGCGCCAGCTCTCAATCTGGTATTTTACATAGCTCCGCGGGATAAAAAATAATAAAAATAACCTCATATAGTAAGAAAAAAGTAGCTCCTAGAAAATGTCTGCTATAGAAGCACACAGGAAAATAAATGGTTTTCGGTGTCATATTAATATTTTTTTAAATTAAATTTCGAGTAGTGACCGACCACAACTGCCAGTTTCATATATTTTCACCAGGCGGTCGATAACTGATTTGTGTGAGAATGAGAACTTTATATTCCTAGGCAAGTCCGGGATGGTAAAAGTGTGGCCGATACGTGCATATCATGCAGACACCAATTAACCTCACCGAGGCGGAGGAAGAAAAACGCCCATATGGCCTTTTAATCAAAAAAGTGTTCGACAGTATCAGGCCCTTAAATTCCCCCATGAGAGAGCATTATAATAAGAAGAATAAAATAAGCAGCTCCTAAATGAGTCTGCTATAGATGCACACGGGAAAAATACTCGATGCAATGTTAAATGGCTTAATATATTTTTTCCGCACAAATTATGAAACTTGGTTATTTGTTCAGATTTTGGAAAATGAGTATATACTCTCTTTCTCTCACTCTCTCTGTCTCTGTCTCTCTCTCTCTCACACACACACACACACACACACACACACACACACACACACACACACACTCTTTCACAGTTCGTACATACACTAATCGTAGACAGAAGTGTCGATCCATGCATTAATGATCCTGTGTATGACTGCGCGTTCGTGACTTTTTGTCTGTACACTCAAAGAAGTCATTTTTGGGAGACTAGGATATATTATTATTATTATTTATACTTTTTTAAAATTTTTTTTTTATTTAGAAGCACCCTTAAGATAGAAAGAGAGAGAGAGAGAGAGAGAGAGAGAGAGAGAGAGAGAGAGAGAGAAAGAGAGAGAGAGCGGGAGAGGGGGTGAGAGAGAGAATGAGAGACGCAACAAACGAAAAACGCGTTTTCTATTTTCCTTCTTTATCGAAGCCTAAAAAAAGGTCGTCATTAACATCACTGCTTGTTGTAAGCAAATGCAATCAGCTATTCGTACTACTATCTAACAGAGAATCCTAACTTTAAAATTCTCTTTATACGTAGAATATTTGTAAATTTTTGAAGATTTCTAAAGCCCGCTATATCTTAGCGGTTGGTTTAACTCATTTCGTAATTCTTTTTCGGTGAGGGTAAGGTGATTTGTAACTGATAGATTATATATAAAATATATACCAAAGTTTCCAGTAAAATTTTATTCGGTCTCAAGTTTTCCAAAAAGAGCGCTTGGATACTTTTGTACACAACTAATAAATCTAGTTCTCATCTCATTTGATCTTGTTAGGGATCCTAAACATTTTCACGCGTCATAACCCAATCTTGAAAATCCGAAGTAAAATATTGCATAAACAAGGAATACATAAATTTGGACAGAAGATTGCGGTCAAGCATGAAACAGACTGTCGCCACTTGGTGTTGACATCAGTGTTCACTTTTATATTTATATTTACATGCGTTCTATCATTTATATTGAGCATATTTACCCAAAAATATACCTTAAAATATAATTTTATCACATATATTCATATATACATAGTTCGCAAAATACATTTTCCAGTGTACTGGGGTGGGTATCGACAGTAATGTTTTATAACGGGAATCATTTGCTTCTTTAAACATCAGAAACACTTACCCTGTAGTGTAGACACACTCAGAACCAATGCTTTTATTATCCGTACACCGTTTTAATTTTTTTAAAGTTTTAATGAAAAGCGATGGGAATAATATGTACATACATACACATTTATACATATATACACGCATAAATACATACGTACACACATATAAACACACATTATATATGTGCGTGTGTGTAAAATACCTTGCATTTATATGTATCCACCGATCATTATACATGTAAATTTATATATTTGATATATATATATATATATATATATATATATATATATATATATATATATATATATATATATAAATATATATATATATGTTCACCTGCTTTCACAAACACAAACTCACACACATGCACTCACACAAATAAATATGTGTGTGTGTGTCGAAGTGATACATAGGGGACCACTTGAGACCAGTGGATGCTATAAGCGACATCCTAATATCCAAAATAAGTTTCAACTTTAATTAATCCACAAAGAGTTGATAAGCAGTAAAAAAAACGAACAAATCAAACAGATCACATTACATGGAACTGAATCCACTATCAAACATATATATCGAAAAAAACACATACAGTAAAACAAAACTTTATCTGAAAATATTACTCTCTAAATAACCACCAATTGAAACTTATCATACGGATTATTTGTCTCACACTGTATACAGTAATACAAATTAAGATACAAATACATAAATACAGACGCTGATATATATATATATATATATATATATATAATATGGAGCACTGTTTTTTCAAAATAAAAACAAAAATAATAAAGAACCCCGGATTATTTATCTAACGTGTTCATTCCTATTTTTCTACATATTTGCATGCACACACACACACACATATATATATATATATGGGCAGCAACTTTTCTTTCAGAAAGGTTTCGTCTTAAATATGACACACAAGGAAATTCATCAGATTATCAAAATATGGTGAAAGTGCTGATAAATTTTGACTTGTTGTTGTATATATATATATATATATATATATATATATATATATATATATATATATATATATATATATATATATATGCACCAGGTCTCTGCACAAACCTTCACCACTATAATCAAATCTCATGTACTGGTGTCGGTCTGTCAGTTTCTAGGAACTGATCAGCTTGACCCTTATGCGTCGAATTCAACGGGAGAATCGAGTATATATACATACATACATACATACATACATATATATATATATATATATATATATATATATATATATATATATATATATATATACTTATTTACTTGCAGTTAACGTACAATATGCGTGTAACAATTCAGATCTTAACTTTCTGCCCTTGTACAAGTTTCTAATTTTCTGAGCTTATGGCCATTCAGGTATTCTAGTATTTGTAAAATATTTTTGCGGATTGAGGAACGTCTAAAACGAATTCGACTAATCCAGCATGAAGAAAATATTTCTAAAATCATAGTCTGCTGATTAATTCTTAATATTTGCTTCACTTTCACAGTTTATGAGCACCGGAAATTATAAGACATGTTAAACGAAGGAAACGAAGGCAGTTCGTTGACTTTTATGTTTTGAGTCTCTCTATCTTCAAAATATGTTTTTGGGGAAGAAATTTTAATACACCTCAGAAAGGTGCACTCATAACATAATTTCTATATTCAATGTAACTTTATATCCCTGTATACATATATGCGTGTAAAATTACTTAGATATAGCAATATAAAAACATGTGAAACTTTTCGTGGGGAAAACTTTCAAAATGTTAATTGTATTTTAAGCATTTTTTCAGTGCCAACATAAAAAATCACACACGCGCGCGGCAACACACACACACACACACACACACACACATATATATATATATATATGTATGGGGAGAGAGGGAGGAAAAAAGAGGGAGGGATGGAGGGTTATTTGGTTGTTGAAATATTCCCCACCGGCAACGTTAATCACTAGAGCTCAGGTAAATTATCAAAATTTCAAATCTATTAGGCACTCCACACTTGACACGCTACTACAATAATTATCTTATAATTTTTCACCACTATGTACGATTAAATCTATATTTAAATATATACACGTTATCGGCTCGATTCATTTGACAAAATCTGACCAAATACTAAACATCAGATTTTTTTGTGGATGGTAAGGGCTTCTTGGCCCGGTCGTGAACATTTTGCACCTCCTCTTACAAGATTATATTTCCACTGTCAAACAGTCTACAAAAACCTTTCTCAGAAATCACATCATCAGTCACTAGGGAATTAATCAACTTGTTACCTACCTACCTACCTACCTACATACCTATCTATCTATCTATCTATTTGAATTTTATATCAAATATTGACTGTGTCAATGAAATTGTCAAGTATGTTTTATATTGCGAATGTGATTTTTATTGCCTTATTTAAAGAAAACGTGTATACCGAGTGCGAAGAGGAAAATACATTTTTCAAAGAACACGCTCATTTTTTTCGCAATTAAAAATGTGCATGCTGATGGAATGGACCCCTAAGAAGAAAACGGTGGATCACAGAGATACACGAATATATGTCAATCTTGATATCTGGAATTCTTTAAAACATAAATGAAATGAACTAATAAATAGAAATCTTGTCTTCGCTTTGCCTTAAATAATAAAAAAAAAACAAAAGCAAAAATAAGACAGAATCCAGATGATCAAAAAATATTATAAAAATAATATTAAAAAATATTTGCTTACACTCTAAATTCATTGCTTTGTATTAAGAAAAGCAATAAAGAGAATATTATATTTAATTTAAGTCTATATATAGAAAATGGAAAAAAAATCAGTCAATCGAATATTTAAGCCTAAATGAAATAAAAATACTTGTAGAACCTATTCTTCTTACAATTGTTAGGTCAGAATAAATGCATCCATCATCTAGTAAATAATGAATTAAGATAAAAATAATAAAAATGATCACCATAGTCATGAATGAATAGATGAATAATATCAATATGTACGGGTATGTATATAGATATATACTTACATAAGACAGGCCACTGGTCGTTAGATCTATAGATGGATAGGACCGTAAGTACGAAGTCATGTCTGGGAAGTATCAGAGGACGAAAGAAATGGCCCGTCGCCGTCGTTTATGTTGGAGTCCAAATTATATCCGAAAAAAAGAAAAAAAAGTTGTCACAAATACACATAAGCTTCGCGACTATACGACAGTGGCCAATTCATATTGTTAAACGAAGAATCTCTTTATCTTTGTTGTAGTAGCGGTATTGGTGTCTTCCGGGCGCATTCACGCAGACACACTGTGCAAACACTGGCTATTTCTGACTAGCAGAAGCTGGAAAAAAGAGAGAGAGAGAGAGAGAGAGAGAGAGAAAGAGAGAGAGAGAGAGAGAAAGAGAGAGAGAGATGGGAGGGAGGGAGATGGAGAGAGAGAGAATAGATAAGGTTTGAAGTGGGGGCTGTAAAAAAGAGGAAGAAAACAGTCGGAAGAATTTTAGTGATAGGTGCTTAGAAAACAAGTATGTTGGGGTTACAGGGAAAGATGGTGCGTAATATTAGTGAAAGGGGCGGAGATAGGTTTCTTTTTAAGATAAAAGCTGAGAAGGTAAAAGAGATAAGGTGAGATTGAGACAGATAAATAGAGAGAGAATGTGAGATGGGTAATTATTTGTGAATCTTAATAATTGAGAGAAAAATATTTAAGAAAAATATGAGGGCCGTTAAAATAAAAAGGTGGAATCTAAAGCGAAATCCGAGATAGCTACCGAAACGAAGAGAGAAATTTAACAAATCTTTCTTCGTTCCCTCGGTACGTCCCATTCATCGGTTTTTCTCTCTATCTGTCTTTGTCCCTGTCTGTCTGTCTGTCTGTCTGTCTGTCTGTCTCTCTCTATATATATATGTGTGTGTGTGTGTGTGTGTGTGTGTGTGCATGTGTGCGTGTATGTATGTGTATCGATTCATTTTCAAAAATGTGACCACATGACAAGTATCAGAATTTGTGGGTAATTCCTTCTAGGCTGGGCAGAGAACTTTTCAGCATCTCGTATATATATATATATATATATATATATATATATATATATATATATATATATATCTGTGTGTGTGTGTCTGTGTGCACGCGTTTGTGTGTATTTGTGTATCTATGTGTGTGTCTGAATGCATAGATATTTAAGAAGAATGAGATGACACGAGGCGACCAAGTGAGAAGCAAAATCAAAACTAATGCAATAGCTTAAGAGTTGGTACCTCTTTTTCGCGGAAAACAGCATAGCGTAATGAAAAAGGCCACAAACTTAATAAAAATAATGTTTTATCGTCAAAATGTTTATGTTATTATTAAGATGAAAGACCAAAGTCTTTTTTTTTTTTTTTTTTGAAATTTTATAACACGTTCGAATTTTTAGTTAAAATCTTGTTTTGTTTACGTTATCGGGGTGGCATAATAAATACATTGACTTTTTGCGCTTTTTTCCGTGGAAAACAATTGGTTTCGAAATTCTTGTAAAAATCAAATAATTGTCCGATTTTAATGAAATTTTCAGGACCTATTCACAAATGAATGAAATTATGTTTGAAAGAGTTTTTCTTTTTTTTTAGAAAATTTTGCTAAATTTTTTTTAACACATGTTATTCCCCAAAGACTTAATTTCGTGAAACTTTGCAAAAAACCTTTCAATTTCCTGAATTTCTTTTATTCATTAAAAGTATGATTCCTTCGAGAATGTAAATGGCCTAACTTTTTTTTCAAACTTGCACTATTCTAACTGAAAATCTGCTCTGAATTGATTACAAATTTCTTAAAATTAAGAAAATGGCCGCTTTTAAGAAAATTTTAAGAAATCGAAATTAAATTTGACATTTAAATCTAAACATCTATCTGAAATACACCAGAATATTTTACTTAGTGGAAATAATAAAATTAATCCTTTAGTTTTCAATTAAAGTTAAAATGAAACCTTCAAGGATGCTTTTTCATTTTTAAAAATTAATTTTAAACGTTAGGTATCGAAAATCTATGCCGAAAAAGTGGAGGTACCTATTTAGAAGGAACTACGTACTTACTACAGTACACCTAGCGTTTCAACACACACACACGCACACGCACACACACACACACACACACACACACACACACACACACAACAAAAGCAATACACATATCTAGCTATGTATATGTATGCATCTAAAATCCATCTTTATGAATATACAGTTATTTGGCTGCGTATATATGCGTACACATAAAACGGAGACAGAAGAATACACTAAATCGTGTGTGGGAGACTAAGAAAGATTAGACACACCGCATTAACTTGTATATTGTTTAATTAGATGTAAAATGCGTTTGTTTGTGTATATGTGCGCGTTTCCATATATGTGTGTGTGCGTATAAATAGAAATAACAGAGAAAGCAAATTGATAAATAAACACTTAAGAAAGTCTGGCACATCTTCAGTAAAAAATGAAAGAGAGATAGAGAAAGTATTCAAACGTTGAAAGATAAACGCCACAGACACAGACACAACACGGAAACACATACACACACACACATACATATATATATATATATATATATATATATATATATATATATATATATATATTAATTATTTAACCCCAAGCAATGCGGGAATGCCACTAGTACGGAGGGGGTTACAAAGTGAAAGTTAGATAAAATACTAGGCATTGATGGCAGTTGATGTTGCATTTAAATATTTGAAGATTGTAGTTATCAGTGAAGCAAGTAAGCGGAAGGGAATTCCACTATCGAGAAGTCCGAGAAAAGAAAATGTTGGAGTAGAAGTTGCGGTTGAATTTAACTATTTCACCAGTAAAAGGGACCAAGATGCCAATCGAGTAGCATGCTTAAATTCATGTACTCGGGGCACCATGGAAAAAAGCTCGTCAGAGCCTGTTGCCATGAAAATATTTGTACAAAAGACAGGGAGAAGCGACATCGCGTCTGTGAGAAAATCGAAATGCCAAGTCAGGATCGATTACATTGCAGATCCTTTTTTGGATTTTGTCAAGAATCTCGAGATGAACAGCAGGGGAACCAGGCCGCAACAGTATTCAATGCAAGGACGAATGGTAGATTTGTAAATTTACAAGATGTTTTCTGAAGCAAAAAACATTCTGGCGCGACACAATAAGCCAACATACCTTGCAGTAGATGCAGCTATTGATTCAATGTAGTTGTTCCACTTCAAGTCAGTTGAAAACGTGAGGCCAAGAATGAAGTGAGTTTGGCGGACAGGGAAGTTTTTCTGTGATTTTATTTTTCTATAACGGATTTGCTATTGAGACAGGAGTAAATGGTAGTGGCATCTGCATAAATGCCTACTTGGGAACTGATGACATCAGGGAGATCACTGATGAAGATCAGAAATAGTGTAGTGCCCAAGATAGTGCCTTGGGGGTCACACGCGTTCATGTAAAATGAAGATAGCCCATTCAGGACTAACTTCATTTCACGATTTGATGGGAATGATTGGATTAATTCAAACCTTGTAATACCGTAGCCCTGAAGCTTACGTAGAAGACCAGCGTGCCAAACCTTGTCAAACGCTTTCGAGATATCTAGAGCCACAGATCGAGCTTTGTCGTTATTATCAAGAGCTTGACAGATATATTCAGTGATGTCCGTTAGAACATCAACGGTAGACATGGCAAAACGAAAGTCATATTGTTTGTCAGAAAGTAGGTCGTGAGAGATAAGATGCTTAACCAATTCAGCATTGAATACCAAAAAGTAGTAGGAGATTAATAGGGTGATAGTAGAGGGATCAGAAGGTTCTCCAGAGTTCTTAAAAACAGTGACTACAGAGGAGGATTTCCAACAAGCTAGAAAGCAGGAAGCAGCGAGGCAATAGTTGTAAAGTTTAGAGGGAACTGGGGCCAGCTCATGAGCACATTTCTTTAGGAAGACGGCTGGTATCCCATCGCCTCCACTTACCTTATGGGAGTCTAATTTAGAAATGATGTCCGAGACTAGGGACAGGATTATGCGCATATCACTCAGTATAGCCTCAGTTTTAGGGGGGAAATCAAGTGCGAGTACTCCAGACGTAGACGTCAGAAACTTCGAATTGATGCAGTATGGGAGAGATTGAGGATTTGATTTTGTACAGAACATACTAGAAGTGCCACCAATAATCTCTGGAACCAAACTTGCGAGATGCTATACCTTGTGTCATTCTATCAGCAAACATCAACTTCTCTTCATTGAGGACAGGCTTGCACTTGTTACGAGCAGAGACAAATAATGTCACTCTGGTGGTTCTTGTGGGCTATAGCGGCCGAGCATGCAGGTGAGAACCAAGGAGATGAACGCTGTTTAACTTGGTATTTCTTTGCTGGAAGGAAAGCATCAATACCGGCCTTCGCCCATGAGGAAACCTCAGACGTGCATTTTTGAACAGGTTGATTAAAAACTGCATTCCATGGGACGTCACGAAGGATATCACATAACGAGACCCAATCTGCTCGTTGATAACAGAAGGATACTCTATTGGTAGTAGGTTCTTGGCTGGAAGGAGATGATCAGAATTGTCAAGTGTAGTACGACTAGAGTCAGAGATATAGGTAAAAAAGAGATCGAGAAGAGAAGTGTTTTCGTCAGGATTACTGGAATAACGTGTAGGAAAGTCAACCACTTGTGTGAGAAGGAGCGATAGAGAAAGAAGAGAGAGCTAGGATATCCGGAGACTTTTCGAAGAGGAACGATTCCACCCTGCAGAAGTCGGTACGAATACAACGAATGTTGGAGAGGGAGAAGTTTAGGTGTTTTTTGCTGAGCTGGTTTAAGTTTATATCATTGGTTGTTAATGATGTGTTATATTGGTAAAGAAAATGCCTAGGGTAGTAGTAGCAGTCAGTCCACTAATGTAACATATACAGAAGGGAACTGGCGCACACTGTAACATTGTGTGGCTTCGGGGTTTCTCACCGGAGGTGCTTACAGGGGTGTCCTTGTCTTTCAATGCACAACAAGGTACTGCATGAATCCTAATATTATGCAACACACTCATTTCGATACATTATGAAGTTTTACCATTCGAGCTTATGGTTCTCGATTTTAATCGGAATATCGCATTCACACCTGATCGATGTTAATTTTGGAGAATTGATAGGTATACAAACAAATCGTAAATCGTCGATGGAAATGTCTTGTGGTTGAGTTAGTTGCGCATTTTGTACTGGCGTCAATGTTTGATTTTCGAATCCATGTAATTAATAGGTATATCGAATGCAAGCAAATCCTTTGCACTCAGAAGATTGACTATTTACAGTCTTCTTTTTTGTTCTCTTGGCCTTGTGCTATACTAAGCTAAGCATATTGTGAGAGATTATTTAGGCTGAGCTAAAAAAGGATTTTGAATGGATTTCAATATTTTAAGTTTGGCACTCCATCACCGCTTGGAAGATTGTTGCAACAGTTCTACTCTTTCTTTTTTTTTTGTTCTTTTTTTATACTAGTAAATATCTATAGTAAATATGAATAAAAGATAATAGGAAATATATCTGTGGAATGAGAAAGGCAAAGTTAACAGCTTTACATTTCGACATCCTTATGAAACTTACGCGTTCAAAACCTGTGCTTTGAATTGAGGAAATGTATTTGCAAGAGGAGGAAAATTATTCTACAGACAATGGCAAGTTGTTTACTAGAAGATAAATAGATATATAGATATACACAGACTGAATAATAGATATTTAAACATAAACTGATGTCGATAGATAAAAGTAGAACGAGTAATATTGACAGGTATTAAATAATCTTTCAAGGGGTTAGTGTTTGTCTGAAATATACATTCGAAATACTTGTACTCGAACTCCGACAAAAGATGTTGCAGGCAATCGTCCGGTTCATTATCGTCCGGTTTTATCTCCTGTTTCCTGTTTAGGATTATGTTTTCGATACCTACTAAAGTATTTTCATTCTCTTGAACTCCCAGTAGCCAATTGTGTCTTGGTGGCATTCTCGCCTTGTTTGCGGTGAATTTATTAAAAAAACAAAACATGCAATCAGTTCACATGTGAAGCAGATTGATAGTCATACGCATTTATTAGCAAGTTCGCCTGGCTAATAGTTACTGTAAGATCGATCTCAATTTGTTTTCAATTTTGGGTAGTTAAAAGATATATATAGATGTGTAGATAATAGAAACAGGAACAGATATACAAAAAGATTTACCTAATCAACTCAAGATGGAGAGAATAGAAATTTGAGAGAAAGACATTGATATCACAGAAAGATGTATTAATATAGGGATAGATATGAGCTGGCTGAAATAAATATTAAAAAGGCAACGCAGATGGAATGAGGGATGTGAACAGAATGAGTTACATTGATAGAGTGGCTTATTGGGATATTTATTTGATAAATAGAAACGAAAATTCTCTCTTTCCATCCTGAAATGGATGGAAAGAGAGAACGAGTTAAGTCGAACGAATTTGGTGGAGGTGGAAGATAAAGTGGATCCGGTGGCTGATGAGGCAAGTAAGAAAGAAGGAATCAAGGTAGAGATAAGGGTAAAAAATAACAGAGAATAAGAGATTTGAAACTGACAGACGTGATTTTGTGTACGCGTACGAGCATATGTGTAAAAAAGGTAAACTAGAGGTGATGGTAATGTTATTGTAAAGCAGCCTTTGGGAAAATGGTATGTGCGTACGGTGGGATGGTTGGCGAATACAAAGTAGGCGAGTGACCCCCGTGAAATGGAAATGTTGATTTGGAGGAGAAGTTAAGAATAAAAAGCAAATGTCAGCGAACAGTTGAAAAAGAAGGAAAAAGAAGAGAGAGAGAGGAGGAGTTAGAGAGAGATGGTGAGGATAGAGGACAAGGAATGAGGGCGATGAGAGAAGGAAGGAAGGAGAAAAGAAAGAATTAAGAGAAAGGCAGACTAAAAATAGGAAAGTAAAAGAAGTGTAAAAGAAAAGATATGGCGATAAAGTGTAGAAAAAAGAATAAAAATTGGGAAGAATGATAAGAAGAACTGAAGAAGAAGAAAAAAGGTGAGGATAATGATACAGAGAGGAAGATGAAGAGTAGATGAAATAAATAATAAAGAGAATGATAGAAACAGAATTAGGAAGGGAAGAAAAAGAAAAAGTGATAGCAAAAGGAACAGAGAACGAAGATAAGAGAATGAAATAAAAATAATGACGAAAATATGAAAAAGAAAAACTGAGGTCAATGTTAGGATATGAAATAAAGAATGAGAAGAAAGAGGAAGAAGGACAAAAATGATGGCGAAACTAAGGAGAAAGAAATATATGAGGATAATATTAAGAAGATAATGAAGTCAAATGGAGAATAAGTAAAGAAGAGATAGAAAGAGATTGCTAAATAGATAAGAAAGGAAGAGAAGAAAAATGAGAATTATGACATGGAGATTAAGTGGAAGTGAAGAAGACAGAAGAAAACGTATTTTAAATGATAGGGAGAGAATGAAGACCTGAAGAAGAAAAAAGAAAATATTGACTCTATGACGAAAAGAAGGGAAAATAAATAGGGAAGAGAATGAAATGGAAGATGAGGAAAAAGTAGAAAGGGGAGAAACGAAAAATCTATTGTAAATGGAAAAAAAAACAGAAGAAAAAAATGAAAAGTGTGAGTGAATAAATGAAAAGTCGAAGGAAATACAAAAGAATAAAAAGGAAGAAAAAGGTATTTAGAAATGGGAAAGGAAGAAGAAAAATAAAAAAAGGCAAGAAGAATAAATTAGTGAAGAAAGCGAAGACAAATTGAAAAGAGGAAAAAGGATGAGGAGATATAGGAGCGGAAAAAGAAGTTGAAGGTGAGGAAATAGGTAGGGGGTAAAGAATTAGAAAGGAGATGAGATTTTGAAAAATGAAAAAACGATATAAGAGGCGAAAAAATGATGTTTGTAAAAACAAATTTGACATAGTCAAAATGGAGAAGTAAAAATGAAAAAAATGAAGTAAAAATAATAAAAATATTGGGCGTCTGCAAAAACCACTGAAAAGAAGAAATTAAAAATAAATAAAAGGGAAAGAACAATAGAAGAAGAAAAAGAAGACAATAAAAAAGGAACCGAAACATGATGAAAAGATTCCGAATGTAATTAATCGTTGTAATGAAATACCATTTTCCAGAGATAGATTTTGCAGTTCTCATTGTAAGTCGTACCTGGTCGGCCAGGATCCCTTTCGGCTCATGCACATTTTTATCTGTCATAAAGGCATCACAAAATTTTCAAATTCATATTCTTTGAAAATAGACTGGGTGTGTTTGAAATTCAGATGTTTTTCCTCATTCTTTGATTGGCATGTAAAGTTGATATGTAAAATTTAACTCATGACACGAACGAATGGGTTCCTTTGTTCACCATTGTGTATTTGGATGTCGTGGCACAGAAAAGAAAGATAATTTAACTTCCTCTAGTGTTCATTGGGTAAATCTTACATTCCTAATTGAATAATTAAAGAATATTAGTAAAATTATGGCTAAGGTTTATGTTTAGATTTGGATAAAATACTATGGTAAGGGTTAAAGTTAGTGTTAAGGGTTAAAGGTTAGGGTCAATGGTTAAGATCAATGTCAAAAGTTAGATTTAATGTCAAAGGTTAAAAGTAGGGTCAATATTTGTCGTAGGTTAAAGGCTAAGCCTTTTATTATGTATTTATCAATACTATATATTACATGCGTATTCGCGTTTCAGAATTTCTGAGGCAAATGATTAATTTATTTAGACGAGTATCCTCGTCTTGAGGTTTCGATTATAATGTTTCAATCAAATCTTATGGCTTCCTCATGATTACACACTCTTTAATTCTCTTTACTTATTATTCTCTATTTTCATATTGAACATACAAGAAAGATATTTTAAATTTGTGCTACCAGATAAATTATTATTGATTTAATAGATCAAAGGTTTCAGTATTAATACATCATTTACTAATCATAATTTCAGTTAGTCAGTTAAGTGCTATACGTGATACACGCTTGGGCGAACATGTTTTTTTCGACTGACGAGGTTGGTTGCCAACCAAGTCTAAATAACCCAGTCTGTCCTGCTATTCAACTCATATCTCTTATCCCTCCCATAGTTGGATAAGAGATACCTTTCCCAAGGGTATTTGTGCGTAAGTGAATCTAAAGAACTTGACTAGAATTCGAACTAGGCTGTTCGGATTCTCACTCCGAGCCCATATCCATTACACCACAACGCACATTCACTCCTTGCCTTACTTCTTTTATACTTTAAATGTTAATCTATCTATCTATAAAAAAACTAAGACTGTATAAATCTCTTAATGTCCGTTTTGACTGCTTTTCTAATTTCAAAATTATTTTTCTGTATTTTTATCTTTTCTCGATTCGCCCTTATTTTAAAGTCTATTTTTTTCTTTCAGCTATGTGGAGGCAAATAATCGCACAGATGTGCCTGTCTCTATAAATTTCCATAGATAATAGCCAGAGACTGTTAGTGTGCAACCTGCAACCGCACGATTCTCTTCATGTTAGCAATATTCAAGTTGTAGTTAGCATTGCAAATCGCCACTGCGCATGCGTGAAGCGATATCTTTCAGCAGATAGCCTAATTTTAGTATATATTTAGACAGGTATTTATTTTAAAAAGGTGGTGTGTTCGTAGGATATATATTTACGTTTCCACGTGTAGATTTTTACTCGCATATTTTATTCTTATATCTCTGTACATTTTTCTTTCGGTTTGTATATTTGTAATGTTCCAGGTTCATAAATAAGTTTCCAGATAAAATACTCTCAAAACTTTTGATTTAAGTTTCTCATATCTGCTGTTTAGGGTGTCTGTTATCGCGCGATGGTGATGAAAATTGTTTTGCTGGTTAGGTTAGTGGATTCCATACGTACTGGCTAACCAATAATGTGACATAATTACAGAAACTAACTGACTAGCATCTTTAGATCGATCCACCCTGGGAGCTAACTACTAAGACGTTTCAAAAAACAAACTAAATAAGCATTTGGTGCCTAATGTATTTTAATGTTTAAAAACCCCGTCACATAGGCCAACTAACTAGTGTAAGAAATTTGGTCGACACGTTCAGTGATCCATATGTTGTACTAATCAATATATTTATTTTGATTAATTATTTTCTCGATTAATCTCGTTCCAGTCCTGTTCAATCCATAAATCTAGTGGATCACTGAAGTGAACGATTCAGGGCATTTAACAGTTTAATGAGAATCACATAGCGATTTTAGTTTCCCTTCCAAGTAATATGTAACAGGTTTTACTGAGTTTACAGGGTACCAGTAGGTAATAAATGACCTGAACTATTGAAAGAAATATAACCAATCTCTGTTAGGCCACCCTATTTGTTTTAATCATTTCACCCTAAGCAAGGTGATGATAACACTAAGATGCAAACTGGGAACGAAAATGAGAATGAGAAGACTTTAGAAGAAATCGGAAACAGGAAACAAGGGATAAATCTATGTTCGTTTAGAAAAGACCCCTATTCTAACTATTAAAATACACTAGCGTGCGAAAAATATTGGCCACCTTGGTAAATTAGTTACTTTTGTTAATTATGCTCCCAAATCGAAAGTGATTAACATCATGCGTTTCTCAGTAATGCTGAGAAAAGGTCATACAAATATGCTGGACCACCAGCAAAATTTTCTACATTTCAGCACTTTTTTAAGTTAAAAAGGATTTCTTTTGCAAAAAGTGATCTTTATGATTGAAGAAAGCATAAGACGTCAAAGTATGGAGAATGAGTGTTGCTGCATTTAAATCAAATAAAATTCCTCAATTCAATGTGGCATTGAATGGAATATGGTCCAGATTTTATAATATTGAATTTTTTGCCATTCTTGGCAGTAATCCCAACGTTTTTAGAGTTTGCAAGGTTTTCGCTGGGGCACTTGTTTCTTCAATTCCCACCACAACAGTTCAATTATACTGAGATAAGGAGTTTGTGCTAGCCAGTCTTCCAAAATTGAACATCTTCATAAACAAGAAACATTTTGGATGCATGTGATGTGTGGAAAGGTGCACTGTCATGCTAAAGAATTTTTTCATTTTCATAGTCTGGAAGAAAATTAGAACGTGTTAAACTAGTATAGTCTTCGCTATGTTTCCATCAACGTTTAGCAATTCTCTTCTATCATCGTTTTACACATTTCGTGTCTACCACTAAATTTTATCATCCTTATGATGTATCTTACATTGTTTCTGTCACCCAATGGTCATTTTTACATATTCTCTTGCATCAAAATGTAACTCTATTTTGCATTCATCACTAAAAATTACATTTCTTCCACTTTCCAGCATCCTGTATTACATGTTCTTATGAACACTTCGTTACTTAAAAATCGAAAACTAAAAAAGAAAACCTTGTAAAACATAATCAAGAAATATACAAATATATACACTATATACTACGCAGATAATGTAACGTACTTTAGACAAAGACAATAGTTTAAACTAAACAAAGAAGATACCCCCAAAAAACAAATAAATAAATGAACATATTATGTAAATAAATAATAAACAAATTAACTACGAACGTAAGCATAACGACGACTAATAATAATAAACAACAAATAGTTAATGAATCAATACTAAATCCACTGAGTAATCAATAATAAATAATGAGTTAAAAGTTAACAAAAACAATATACATTAGTGATAAATAAGATTATTTCTACTCAATAGTCTTTAGAATATCTTGAAATTTAAACGTTGCTTCTTACCCAAATAACTTTTAGGATAATACAATAAAACTGAAATAACCAACATAATCATCCACTGATAAGCATATATAAATAGACGAGTCATCATATAATGCATATGACCTGAAGCATACTGTCGCCATTCAGTGTTGACCTCAGGGAACATAATCTTAGCGTCCACTTTTATATTTATACACGCTCTACTCCTAATATTGAGAGCATTTACCCATAATATAGAAAACTTTAAAACTATATATTTTTTCATATATGTCTCTTCCTAATTATATTCCATTGTACATTGACGCACTAGTAGGACTAGTTTCATGCGCTTGTACACAATCATAAGACTGCTTTAGAATTGTGAGCAAGAGCCTGAAACTTTTAGTAGTGGTCAGTCAATGTACACCGGAAAATAATTAAGAAAATAATGTAATGCTCTGCTATTTTGCCATTGAGCGCTTTTCTTTTCTGGTGTACCTTTTTAATATACTTCCTTAGAAGTGGTTTAATTTGTGCATTTACACACACACATATACGCAAACCCACTCAAGCACACACAAACACACATATATATAAATGTGTGTGTGTATATATATATATATATATATATATATATATATATAAAGATATATATATATATCATCATCATCATGTTCTTGCCTCGTACACTTAGCCTACTCTTAATGTTGTCAACAGTTGAGTTAGCGCCAGAACTAAACGCATTTTATTTCTTTTAATTCATCAGAAGCAAGATTGGTCTGCAATACCTTAAGATAATTCATTATTCTGAGCTTGGTTGGCACGCTAACAAAACTCGAACATTTATCAATTAAAAATGACAAAATAAATTGCTTTTGTGAAACACGTTGCTCGTATATGGAAACCGTTCTATTACTAGGGTAATTTCAATAGCACATACTCCTCTACGGTTAATTGTTATTATGGTTGTTTGTAAACAAACGCATGTGTTTTGTTGGCGGGCTTTGATCAGTCTAGATGAAAAGAATTAAGAAAATATTGTTGGACCTTACTGAAAATTAATCTACATTCTCTACTTGTCCAGGTTCAAATGTTTCATTTTGCATAAGTATGAAATTCTAATATTTGTGAAATATGGGTCATATACCATTAAATACGTTACATTAATCATTAAATTTAAATTAAAGGTGTGAGTGACCTAAGTTCAAATTCCTGATGAAGCCATTTGATCATCCTGGCA